GTGATAATATTTCAAAGTTAATGGACAGGGGAGACAATTTAAATGACTTGCAAGCAAGAACAGGTAAACAACAACAATGATATAGACCTCTCGAGGTGAGAATGAACTATGTCACAAGAGTAAATACGGCAAGGGGTGTGGTGGAGAAGGAAATAAATTCCATGGATGGCAACTTTCTATGGTGAACCAATGAGCAAAAGCAGAAAGCAAGCTATAGTAAAGAATCTGCTGCATATTGCACCAAATCTGTTTTATGAGATGCTTGGTAGCACCCATTCTTTCTCACAACCAACTTTTGTAGCTTGAAAGAGCTCCAGACCTCCTAGACAAATCATTTTTATAGTTTACTCCATTCCTTCTTCATTGAATCTTGCTGTCCAAAATGGCAGCCAATTATTATGCGTAGGTGGATACCGTATCTTAAAATAATGATATTCATACACCTAGTCATTCACAGCTCCAGAGGTCTATTATTATTATTATTATTATTGTTATTATTGTTATTGTTTTTAGAGTCGTTGAGTGATCATGCTGTTAATTTCAATTTCACTGCTCGAAGATTGAAGAGGAAAGTTTGTTGGAAGAATGTTAAGCTTTGGTTTGTTCTCTTGTTCATATTAATGGTGATACTAGCAGTACTGATCAGTGAGTAATGCCATTGGATAATGTACTAGTATGAACACACTCTCTCTCTCTCTTTTAGTTGCATTAGTGGCTGCTGTCCAGAAAAATAAAAATAAGAACTGATTTATTATTATTGTTGTCATGTTAATTACTGTGACTTTTATAATAAATGATTATAATTAGTACTAACTGATGCGTGGGTGGATCTATTACATCATTTGCGTGGGAGGCAAAGTTTTGAGCCCTTGCCTTTTCCTCTTGTTAGCAGCTTTCATCTGTCTCCAAGTGATCTCCAATGACTTCTGTTCCTTCTCCTCCTGAGCTGAAGAGTGAGTGTCTGGTTCTTTACTTCTTGTTTCAAAGGCATCATTACATTATTAGTTAATGATCTTGCTGAGGTACTTCAGTTACTTAGGAGACATGGTTATTCTGGAGTCAAATGTTTTGATCTTGGTCTTTATCTTGGTCTATCTCCTACTACACTGGATGTCATCATGCTAAATCATAAAGGAGATATTGAGAGCTGCCTTCGTGAGTGTCTTGCTAAGTGGCTAGAGAAAGCTGATGATGTACAGGAGAAAGGTGGTCCTACTATCTATTCATTGGTATCAGCATTGAGGAAAATAGGAAAGAATGGGGTAGCTGATAAAATAGATATGAATAGTGAGTTATAAATACATTCATTTTGACTACACAAATTGCATTTATTATGTTTGATAATTTTAGAGCATCCTGCTTGCAAAATTCTAGCCTGTTATACTTCAAAGCGATCTCTTGTGTCTGCACTAGCTCGGTTGGTTATGCTTTTGTATGAAGCAGAATTAATAAAAGAGATGATCCTCCCAGCCAAAAATCAAGGAAGAGCACTTCTACTTGAAGTAAAAGAAGCTGTTTGTGTTGATTATCGAAAACTGAAAGTATTTGCTGATATTTTGTGCAAAATCACAACCACTGCTAAGATAGGAAATGCTATTGTGAAACAATATGGTAAGTACTAGACCTACTTTATAAATACAGCTATAAGAAACTGAAATTGTTTTATAGACAACAACAATGACTTAAAGGAAGTAGATGCTGATGGTAAAAATAAGTTTTCATGTAGCTTTCATTAATAATAATAATTATAGATAAAAGGCTGAAGATATACCTTCCTAAAAAGGTTACCTCAGAATTTGACTTGATGCGAATGAAGTTAAAAGATACATTTTTCAAAGTTGGATCAATCATGAAGAACAACCCTCAGTCTCCATCCCTTGTTTATCTCAAATATGTACTGGATTCATATGAAGCATTAAAGCCTCAATTACCTCAGTGTCGAGATGTCCATGACATTTTACACCTAGTTTGTGATATTTGCCCACTTGATGATATTCGTGTGCTGGAGTTTTTTGTTAATAAGTTTAAGATAGAGGAGGCTAAGCCAATTATTGAGGAATATAAAAAAGCTGTTGAGGAGTTTAAGAAAACAGAACTCACAAATTGTCTGGAAGAGAAGTTTTCAAAGGCCTCACCACTCAAATGTGAAAGGATCACGATTGTCGTTGATAAAAAAGCAAATGATTTAATACTCAATGACATCGAGAGCTTATCATCAGCTGTATTTGATAAATTAGCACAGCATGTCAGATTGAATGTCATTAGAGAGGACAATTCTTTCACTATCACTTGTTCCTTCCCTTTGGTTCTATCTCAGCAGCTAATTACAGTTGTTCAGAGTAATATTCCTATATTGAGAGCAAAAAGAGTGAAGAGACTAACCATTGGATACTGCACTGTGTATGAGGTGAGTATATAGACTGTACGCTGCATGAACTGATTACATTATTACTTTACAGGTACAAAAAATTGATGACACTTCTGCTCCTGCTACAATTGAATCAGGTAAGTCATGCAAATGTTCTTGCTCATTCTCATGTGTTTATATTGTGAATAATATGATGTGTATTATCTATTATAGATGAACAACAGTTTACCTTATCATTAACTGATAGTGGTTTACTCAAGCAACTGATGATATCATTGAGTGTGCAAATGATTAACAGGGAAGATGAGGTGATTAATGAGGTATGTCATGTGATATCAATTAGTTCATTAGTATAGCTATACAGAACTACAGCCACAAGTCCCATAACTAAGTAGCTTTGGTCAACTATTAATGTCAAATCAGCTTACATACCGTAGATCACATTACTTTTCTTGTTTCACAAACATAGGACAGTATAACATTTATGAAAGAAGCAGAGTCATTGAAGGAAGCACTGGATACTAAGATAAAGATGATGAATGAGAGTGTAGCTGAGAGTGGTGAGCTTAAAGGTATCTGTATTATTTATTGATTTAGTTATTTAATGATTTATTATAGAGGAGTTTGAGAAATTGAAGGAATTGAAAGGAATATTTGAAAACCAGCTTGAATTATTTAAATTGGAATTAAGTAACTAAATTATGCGCATTCTATGCACACAATTTCCTTCTTGCAATTTGCTCAAACAACTATTCTTTACCTTTTGTTATAGAAAATCAAGCACAAGCTGATGACATACAACGTTTCTTTGCTACTTTAAATCAAAATCTGCCACGCATTGCAATGGCTTTTGATTCGTCGGTTACTGAAACTGAAGGGCTCGTTACTGAAGCAACAGGTGGGCTAAAGGAAATACGTGAACACAAGAAAGTGAGAGAGGTACATAAAGTAAAGGAATCATATGAATCTTTGAAAAATGCCATGGAAGCAGTTCACGCGTACCTTGATAAAGTTAATGGACTGTATCAAACACTCAAGGATCAGCCTCAAGAAGTAGTAAAAGACATTGAGAGTAGGGATATGGAGAGTACTGAGCAGCTGACTGATAAAATCAACAAAATATTACAAGATAGCACAGTTCAATATGCTGTACTTCTTGAATGTTTTAAGGAATTTGCCACAAATTGCAATGACGCTCAACATGAGTTGACGAGACTCAAAGAAGAAGCAGAATTGAGCCAAAGAAGAGCAGCATATGCTGCAGGTGGAACAGCTGTTGGGGGAGTAGCAGCATCAGTACTAGTTGGAATATTCACTGCTGGAATTGGAGCTGCTGTTGGTATACCTCTTGCCTTAAGCTTAGGAGGAACAGCAGCTGCTACAACACTTCTCCTAGTCCTTGCAATTGCCTTTGGTAACACTGCTGAGAGGTTTGGCAAAATGAATGAAAGAATTGAGAGGCTGAAGCAATTTAAAGAGATACAGAATATGATAGATGAGCTCAATGGGCTAACAACAGAGAACATAGCAAAAGTAAGGAGAATGACACTATCTCAACGTATAGATTTTGCCATGAAGATGAAGTCTACACTGGAACAAAGTATGGAATTATTCAACAAGACATCTTTTGGACTAAAAACTGCTGAACAAATTAAGATAGATTTTACTAATAAAGTTGAGGAAGCATTTAGTGCCAACTAGAGATTTAGTTGTAATTGAGTGAAAATAAAACATTATTACTATTAATACTTAGTGATTTTATTTTTTAGTTTTGTTATAATTAGAATTATAAAAATTGCGTTTAAATATTATGATTTTGTTAAAATTTGTAACTAAAATTTATTTTAACAAAGCTAGCACACACCTGTTTGTACACTTTTGCTGTTGTTAAATCATACATGCTATTATCACATACTACTATCTGACCAATGAGTGACCAGTGTTGATACAACTAGATATACCATCCATACCACTGCTACTCACTTGTTGCAGTGAATATAATTATAGTACTACAGCTAAATGTACTGCCAGCTGTCAGGTAGATATAGATCTGCATGTCACACACATGTACGTAGTGAATGTGCAAATTATTACAATTGGAAAAGGTAGCATTAGTCATTACTATTATAAAATAAAACACACATACATATGGTGAGATTGTAGATATGAGTGCTTGTCATTTGTATAAACACTGTCTGGCCATTGTTCAGATTACACTGTATTGAATCTATTCTATAGGATTGCAAAGTACGAAGTATCAATAAATTATAATGTCAACAGAATGAACAGATAGTATACTGCCAGCTGTCAGTTTGCCTAAAAGGTGACTTCATCATTTCAGCAAAACTCTACAATACAAACTATACAATTATGGGCTGGCTTCAGGATGTAGGCAAAGACATAACGATACTATAATGCCCCTCCCAT